TTTTTTTTTTTTTTTTTTTTTTTCTATTCTTTTCAATTATTTTTCATTCTCCCGCACTATCTATGTCCCCCGCCTCGATCACACAATCGTGCATCGTCCTTGCATCGCGTACCGCCACCACAAAATAAGGAAAGGAAAAAGAAAGGACACAATAACGCCCAAGCATGCTATATAAGGATCTAACCTCTAACAATACCAATCTTCCATTTATTCTTCCGCTGTTTCTGCTATTTTTGACGATCCACGATCGCCAAATTTATATACGCCTTCTAATTCTTACTACTAAAGTGCTACTAACTCGAGCGCGCACGATAATCCACTTGTTGGCTAAATCGCGAAGCGGTGATTTGTTTTAAAAGGAGATAGGAGGAAAATGAAAGTAAGAGAGGAAGCGGATGTTTCCTTGGAGAGTACTTTCCTCATCTTCCGATTTCGACCATCTTTGTTCCAGGAGCATACACTCTGTTCCCTACAAGGGCTCCAACGGCTACTCAAATGGCTATTCGAATGGCTACTCTAGGTACTAGAAGCCATCCAGCCAACTTATTATCCTAAACTTCCCTCGTAGACGCGCGTTTCTCTTTGTTCACTGAATAGGCTAGTTTATTGACAAGCGGTTCGACGAGGTTTTCTTTGGAATTTCGATGGAACCGTTTGCGGTGTACGTATATATACGTATATACACGAGTGCATGACGTTTCCAAGAAAATGATTTTAACTAGGGACGAGAATTCGAGAACACCTCAATGTCCCATTTCTAATTTTAACTCGACGATGATTATTGGAATTTTGTTGATGCAAGGAGGAAACGAAAATGACAAGAAAAAATTAGATAGAGATAGAGATTTTCTTAATCAGAAACTTTATATATCTGTTCTTTCGAGAAAAGAATGGTAAATTAAAGTAGGTTTTCAATTTTTGTTTGAAAAAAAAATATATATATATATATAAGTTGCAATATCGTTGGAATTGTTACAAAAATTTTCAATTGTGAAGATATCTAAGAATAGTTATTCCTCGCACTATTAAAATATTTATAATTAGCGATTTGTATATTCCATAATTGCTCAAATGCTGAATAGTTAACGACTAATAAAAATTTTTTAAAATTAATAGGATAATAGTTTCAAAAGTAATTTTTATAATAATTGTAAAGTTATTATTACTACCAAAAGCGCTATTAAATTACGTAGGATCTATAGAAAACGGAAAGAATCGAGTAAAAATGAAAAGAAAAGAAGAAAGATTCAATATGATGAGAATAAAAATCAACGTCGAAATTCCGAGAAATTCTCTTGACCCGGCCACGAGTCTATTCTTCTCGAAGTCCGTCTGTCGATATTCCGAAGATCGGTCGATTAATTAATCAACTCGACATAATAGCATTAGCGAGCCTACTGAGTCGCAAGGGAAACAATTCCGTGGATACTGAATCTCGTCTCCTCGCCTATTTTAAAAACCTCGCTTCTCTCGCTCCTTCGTTCCCGCTTTTTCGACGATATTTTTTTTTATTTTTTATTTTTTTTTTTTGTATTACATATTTTTTTTTTATTATTATTATTATTTTCGCTTCTGCCACTTTCCTGTATTCCAAGCCTAGACACCTAGACGTTAGCCACAGCAAGTCATTCTCGCGACATTTCATCGCGACAAAGACATCGAGAGACAGAAAACAAACAGAGGAAGAAATATCACCAAGTCAGAATTTCTCCTCTCTTCCCCCTCTCACCCTCCCCGAGAAAAGGTGAATTCCGATAGATCATCATCCTCGAGATCGAATCGACATCAATGATACCGAAGAAGATCAGGCAGAAGTTTCACGAGAGGCCAGAAACTTTTCATTATTACTTTTTCCAAACATTCGAAATTCGAAGAACAATAAACGAACTCGTTTCCACACACGGAACTTTAACGAGCCTCCAACATGTTGGAGATGACGGCCAAGCAGTTGCACAACAAGATCATGAAAAGGCAGGCCAGGGGAAGGGAAGGGGGAAATCTAACTTCGTTATCAGCGACACGTTCGAAGGCAGCCAACTATGCACCCGACCAGTTCCCGTTATCTCTCTAAATCTCTACCAGGCCTTGGTTCCTGCTTTCTCTTGCGCCAGCTGTAACAACTTAATCGTGGAAAGCCGACGTAATTCAGTTCGAGCATCCATGGGAATAGAGGAACGAGGCCAAGGTCGGAGGATCACACAACTTTCATCACAACCTTCCAACAATATCCCGATATTCTCTCGTTGTCCAACACAGAGAGAATCTTGACGCCTGGCCAACAATCCGGAAGTCCGACATACAACGAAAGTATAAAAGAAAGAAAGAAAGAAAGGTTAAACGCTAATTAATTTTCCCTGTAAAGGAATCCCTGTCGAGAGCCATAAATCCGATCCATAAAGCGGCGAGAAACTCGATTTCAATATCAAAGGGGTATCCGAATCGGCGATTTGGCCCGGAAGCGTCTAATTTGAATTCTCAGGATCCTCTGGCGGGGGCCAGGTGCAAACAGGCCGAGAAAGAGAGAGAGAAAAAGGAGAAGGAAAAGGAAAGGAGGAGGATGGATCCGTGTCAACGTTGTTACACGAGGACCTCGGGGCTAGAGTCCCAAATTGGGCCGCGTAATAACCCGCTTCAAAGATGCTGCTGAGGACCGGATGCTACCGTGGGACCACGCCCAGGCCTGGAGCGACTCGTTGTCGGCCCAACCACCTGGCCATCGGGATCAGAGAGCGGGCCTCGATTCCACGCGATTCACAAGACCCGTGGAGGACGGAGAAGGGATCCACGGAGGAGCGTATAGGAGATCGTATGACGAGGATTCCTCGAAGATCGGACGACGATGAAGGGAAGAGATTGTCGTCGACGAGGAAGGATCTCTCTCGTTGGCGTCTTTGGATCGGCAATGAAGAGAGCAAACGCGAGCCAAAATCGGGAGAGAAGAGAGAGAGAGAGAGAGAGATCTAGCTGAGAGAGAGAGAAAGAGAGAGAGAGAGACACGACGACCTTGGAAATGTGAAACAAGGCGGGTCCACTGACGCAGATACCAGTCAGCAGGGATCGGTTTCCAGTGGATGAACCGTCGACTCTGGATGTGTCTGTTCGACTTCGCGTGGACACGAGGCCTCGATCGTTCGATCAGAACGGCATGATCGATCGGTATCGACCGTTTCCCAGACTGGACAACCGATTCACCGTTCCTTCGTCCTCGGAGCCACGAGTACCTCGGCTGCAACTTTGTTGTAGATGGCAATGTGGGCACCGTAGTAGTTGGGAAACGTGCATTGTCTTCGTGACGAGGGAGCGAATATCAATTGCAACGCGTGGCCACGTCTAACCGACTGGAGATTTTTGTTGGTAATTTCTCTCTTTTTCTTTTTTTTTTTCTTTTTTTTCTTTTCTTGGTGACTCGTAACTCGAGTAATTGGAGGGTGTTGTGAAACTTTGCGAAGATTTGTTCTTGAAGGTTTTGTAAATGTGTCGCTCAAAATTAGTAGGAGGAGGAATAGTTGTTGAGAAATGAAATGAGAATGATGTTTAAAGATGTATTTGACTTTGAATTTCTGTTTCGTGCAATGATAGAATAATGAGATGACATACTTGTTTAGTTAAATACTGATGCCACGTTGAAACGTTCTCCAATTATTTTGAGCATACATCGTCCGAAATATAAGATAAAATTTTGTTTGTTTCATATAGATATGCTACGTAAATTTTTTGAACAGTAATCTGCTAAATTATACAACACAAAAATTCTTGTATCGTATATTTCGTAATTTTCAGATTATTGCATTCAATCTCAATGCAATAGTCGAAACAATTATTTTTTTTTTTCCTCATCGTCAAAGCGCTCGTTAAAAATACTGTAACTGTGAAGCTTTTTCATAGAAAAAGCTTCATTTGTGCTAGATTTCAATTTTCCAAATTAATTTTTTTCCATTATAAAAATCATTGGATAATCGATCGACAATTTTACAATCTCCTCGTAATTACGTATTGCGTAATATAAAAACAAGTTACATGGAGAAATAGCGCGAATGAGAAGTAAAAATAATTGTGTAAACGACTCTGATTTTTGCAAGCTGCGACGTCTCGAGGTGTCTCGAGATCGATCGATCGATCAAGTTGTTCGTCAGTTTCGAAAATCTGTGGCGATATGGACGAAAACGTGTGCTTGAAATTTCTTAAAAAATTTGTATTCTTCTCGATCAAATATCGCGAGATCTGCTTTTCCGTGATAAAAAAGAAGGAAGAGAGTGAATAAGTTTGGAAGATAGAAAAGAGGAAGAAATTGAGACAAAAGTCGCGCTTTGTAAATAGCTTAAAATATTTTATACATTGTCGCTGCGTCTTTTAAAAATTAATCTAATCATTCGATCGTATTATTATTATAATAATTATTATAATTATTATTATTATTATTATAATTATTATTATTATTACTATTATTAGTATTACAATTCTTATTATTATTACTATTATTATTATTATTATAATTATAATTATTATTATTATTATTAATATTATTAT